TCATTTTTTGAAAAAACCCATGACCCATGACCCGGACCTGTAAAAAAGTTCAAAGATCTGAAATTTTTGAAAAAATTTGTTTTGACCCGAAACAACCTGAAATACGTAACATTTTGTTCCGAACAACATTTTAAGCGTTTTCGATGAATCTCTAGCTCATATTTTGGAAAAATCGAACATGGTCATTTTTTGAAAAAACTGATGACCCCGGACCTGTAAAAAAGTTCAAAAATCTAAAAATTTTGAAAAAAAATTTTTCAGTCGAAACAAACTGAAATACATGAAATAAGCTTCCGAACAACATTTGAATCGTTTTCGATGAATTTTCAGCTCATATTTTGGAAAAATCGAACAAGGTAATTTTTTGAAAAAACTCATGACCCCGGACCTGTAAAAAGTCTAAAAATCTGAAAATTTTGAAAAAATTTGTTTTGACCCGAAACAACCTGAAATACGTAAAATTTTGTTCCGAACAACATTTCAAGCGTTTTCGATGAATTTTTAGCTCATATATTGGAAAAATCGAACATGGTCAGTTTTTGAAAAACTCATGACCCCGGACCTGTAAAAATTTTCAAAAATCTGAAAATTTTGAAAAACATTTTTTTGAGCCGAAACAAACTGAAATACGTGAAATTTTGTTCCGAACAACATTTAAAGCGTTTTCGATGAAATTATAGACCATATTTTGCAAAACGTGAATTAAGTCATTTTTGAAAAACTTCATGACCCCGGACCTGAAAAAATTCAAAAATCTGAAAAATTTGACAAAATGTTTTTCACTCGAAACAACCTGCAACGGTTAGAAGTACCTTCAGAACCTCAATAAGAGTGTTTTCGATGAATTTATAGACCATATTTTGCAAAACATGAACTAAGTCATTTTTGAAAAAATTCATGACCCCTGACCTGTAAAAAAAGTCAAAAATCAAAAAAATTTATTGCTAAACTATTCTGAAGAATATTTTTTGTTGAAAAAAAATTAAGTGCTTAGAAACATACCTTTTTCATTCAATGAAGATGTTTCCGAGAGATTCCATGACAATCCATTAATCCATGACAACATACCTTTAAAAATCAAAACAAAATGTAAATTTTTTAAAAGGACTTGCTGTATTCAAAACAACCTAGAATGCCTTAATTTCTCTTTGGGGTCTTTTAGATGTCATTAGAGACCTTTTAGGTGAACTTCTAACTCATATTTTGAGAGCAAAGGTACAAGAATAATTTTTAAACGCAAACAGATTGTCATCAAACAAGTTGTTTGAGGATTCCTTCTTGCAGACTTCCTTCTTAAAACGCCAAGTGAAAGTATTGGTTTCTCTCTTAAAACAAATTTCCTATTTCGCCGTTTTCAAAGATCTATTTATGAACTGAACAAAAATATATTTTTGGCTGGTTACATCCTGCAGTTGCTTCTCTGTTTCACAATCTATTCCGCCAAGCAACTCCTTCACACAAGTTATTTTTCGCACAAAGCAACTCCTTCACACAAGTTATTGATTCAATTTCAGAGATGGATAACTTTTTTCCGTTATCCAAGGAAAAATGTTTTTCTTCATTTTTTCTCAAGAAATGGAGAAGATACCACTATATGTTGTTCTATAGGAAACGGCAATAATTGCTAAAGTTTCAGGTGCAATGCTGCGTTAGTTTGGCTTGAAAAAGACGTCATGATGAATATTGGCGTGTTGGGCTACAATGTGTCGTTGAGTAAAATATTTGGTTTGTGTTTCGTGCTACGCAAATGTCAATATAATAGATTATGCTATGTTGACAAGCCACCGTCAACCAAACACCTCAAAATCTAAACATCTTCCTTAACATCTCAATGCATTCCAACATAAGCCTATTGCGACAGAAAAAAACGTACAATGCATGATCAGTGCTTAATAAATTGTGCTCATTTATAATTCTGATATCTAAACCATTCTTCGAGTGAAGACTATGCTTGCTCTGCTGGGAAGCGTGTTCCGTCTTTCGTCTCCTTAATGTATCAATTCTTCAGTCAGAGGCTATTGATAGCATTAACACGAAAATAGAGCACGAATTCGTTATAAATAAACCATAGATAAATATTCTAGATCTTATAAATATTCTTATTCTTGATTAAATAAAATATTAAATTTAATAAAAAATGTTTAATAATGGAAGGGAATGAGAGAGAAGATGAAATACACACTGCGATGGAATGAATAAGCCGTGCTTCAGTGACTCATATCCTTACCCATTTTGACTTGAAGCCTCAGTTCACGCCATATCAAAAAGGTAGGTCGGTTTGACTACCCTGTGTTGTAAATCAGCGATGAAATGCTCTTTATTGTCCCTGGTCTTTTTGAAGAAAGAAAACGTAGGCCATAATCTTGGCTAATCTGAACACTGTCTCTTTTGGACCAGTGCCTTCTGACATAGGAGTCGAAGTCATTGGGGACAGTTCCCCTTTACGCAGACTACCAAATTCTCGTTGTCCGCCAAAATATTGGAATACAGATGCTACGCAAACCTGGGAAAAATATGTCAAAATATTGATTGACTTGATCAGAATTAAGAAGGATTATCTTACAGAAATCAATTATCGGCAAATCATCTGATTTAAACGTAAAGTAATGGAACAGATACCCAAATAAAGCAGCTTTCATTGAAACAAGGTAGAACAGCCTTCGGGGTTGCGTTGATTTCAGTGGTGATTGGGTGTTTGGGTGAAGACATTGATGGGCGATTGAGAGATATCAGGGAATTTTTTAATGTAAAATATGACCAGTAGGGTAATTGGGATGTAGCAGAACATTGTGTTGATTTATGACCCTCCTGCCTACTTTAAAGCACAACATCAGCAAGAAATATTCAAGAAATGTTATATTTTGTTCCCTCTCAAAATTTAAACTTCTAAACAAGCATGAAGGCTGAACAATACCGAAATAGAAGGAAGATGTCGAAAAGGACAAAAGAATGTCTGATTGTTTGATCACCTACCCTTGAAAGCGGAAACTCATTATGCAGCTTTGTTTTAGAAACAATGCACTGAAGTATCATATGTGATCACCAGTTTGGAAGACCAAACGCATCAATCTCCATTGGCCACATTGCTGAAATGATCACCAAGCGTGCAATGGATGCATCAAGTCTCCGGGGGATGTATCTCACAATGCACCAGTGGTCGTAACTTTGAGTCACAAAAACCAGCTCTCTGAAATAAGGAAGTATAAAAGTTTTTAAGCGAGAGAAGACTTCAAATGTTTTATGTCAAATCTTGAAAAGATTTTGCTATTTTTCTGAGGAATAAATATTTTAGGTCATTAAAAGCCACATTCAAATAAGGGCCTAAAACTGTTGTTTATCAGACAGCGATCTTTGTAGAAGGCCAAAAACATATTTTAAATCTGTTCTCAGACTTGCAAAAACAAACTATCATAACAGCAGGAAATTCATTTCAGAAGGGCAACTACCTAGGTAACACAGATTCTAGCTAACTTTATTCAGTAACACAGGTTCAGTTTTCTTTTGTACGATCAATCTTTGATATATCTTTAAGTTTCTTGCAGTTCATGTATCCTATTCTATACTATTGAAGTTTCTTGGGTTTCTTGCATTCTATTTTAGGCAATGTTCCCATAAATTTAATACATGGTCATATATGTCAAAATGTTTCCTCTTGTATTTAACACCTTCTTCGTAGAGTATTGTCATATTTACTTTTGTGGTTTGTTTTTTAATCAGATATATTCAGTTTTAATATCAAAAAATCTGTTGTCCTCTGTGTTCTTACCAAACCTTCTTTTTTTATGAAGTTTCTAATTTTATGAATCATTGCTTTTTCTGCTCCTTTTTATTAGCTTGATTATTTGTTTTTCAGATTTATGTGATTTGTTATCAAGTGACTTTTAACTCTCCCTATTCCATGCACCTCAGATTAGTCTTCATTTACTAACAAAAATATTCCTCCAACCCTATAATAATCTATAATGCATAAACACGAAATAAATGAACACAAGTTGTAATTATTAAAAGTACTTTACATTATCAAATTTACACAAAGCAATTCAATTAGAATAATTTTATATTTAATGAATCAGTATAGTATAACTAACAAGTATAAATATGGTTAAGGTCAGAGAATGAATGGAGTTATAACCATAACAGTACAGACAATTTTCACAATTTATCTGCTGCAAAGTCCGTGGTGATGTTGTAGTGACTCTACTTAGGCCTGTTTCCATCAATTTTTTCTTCTCATTCATTCCATCATATTCCCACATTCTCACATCGCAGCACAGGAATCCTCTACGTCACTCTCATATCACGCATTTGCTAATCCCTGTGGTTTACTTAATCTTTGCCACGCTATTCAATTTACTCATCACCTTTACTCGCCCTTCCTATCAGGGGCGGACTGGCTAATTTTTTTGGCCCGGGCAAATTTTTATCAAACCGGCCCACAATAATAGCAAATAAAAAACTCTTCGAAAAATGCAAGTAAATGTTAGTCTGTAAGGAAAACAAGTTTTTAAGTTCAGTAATTTTGTGCATGGGTAAATGCTGGTTAACAGAACATGTTAAATATGTCATTTGCTAACTAAAGAGCAGGGCCATAAATCCCGAGGGGATGGGGGGGGACTGGACCCCCCCCCCCAAAAAAAATCTTTAGCAAAACGATTGTTTGAGAAATTATCGTCACTTTCTTTTAAGGAATCCCTGGTAACTGGGTTATAACCAAACTAAGTTTTTATGTGTTTTTGCAACAAACCTCAGCCACTAT